CGAGGAGAGAGTCGATGAATATATTGAGACCGTGCTTACGATAATTATTTGGCCGAATGTTGCGTTCATTTTAAAATAAGTCGTTCGGACAGAACAAACTGCTATTGATTGCACAGGAACAGGAAACAGGAAACATTTACATCGGATGAAAAGATCTCAGAAGAAATGCATTCGGACATGCTAATTGCCATCCTCCGAGATCCAGTTTCTCTCTGTTGCTACTTGGAATAGAAGAATCCATAATGACCATCATCTAGGAAGAATAAAATCCTCCTTCAGCGATACACACTCGTGGTCGTCTCACACTCTCTCTCTCGCAAAAGACACGCGAAATGTCAATGTGCTCTCACTCAGTCAAGCAGACAGCACTGAATGGACACGTGATTGCTTTAATGCACACGCAGGTGCATCTGTCAATAGTTAATTTATTTCTTCGAATTGTTGGTCGTGGTCATTCTTTCCTGACCTTGGAGTGAAGTGAGCATCACCTTGTGCACTCCCAGAATTCTGAAAGATTAAACTAAATAACTGAATAATATCGTGATGCTACCAATTGCATCATCGGGATATTACATAGCAATTCTCGGATTGGCAAGTGTTTGTCTGCTTTATTAATGCATCCCCTACGGCATATAAACCATTCAAGTATCGTTTTAATTAAATATGACGCAACAAAATGTCCTGCAGCACTATTGGCAAGTGATACAGTCATTGCAATTCATCTTATTAAATAGGTTTGTGGCTTTTGCCACTGCATTTAGATGTTGTTGTTGTTGTTGTGATGTGTGGTACAAGTAACGCCAGGGAATAGTTCCTGACCGTCGAGAAATATAAAAAAAAAAATATGTATCCAGTCACTGTGAGTGACCTGGCTATTTCCGCAACATCATTATCTTGTGAAAACTAAAAAATATATATACACATTCAAGCAAAATGTTAAATAGGCAACAGAGCCATGTCCATCTGCATAGTTGGACATAAGTCACTGATGGAAATTCCACAATACCGCGATCGTGTAAGTCTCACCCAAGGGTTTTACCACTTTTGTTGATTCTAAATATGGAGTGGAAAACTGGAGGACCCGGAGAAAAATCAAAACACGACCACGGGGACAGAAACAATGCAAACTCCAAATATGCAGGCGTCAGGGTCGGGATCGAACCCGTGACCTCTTCTTCTTCTTGGTTCTTTCGGTAAAGTCACGTAGAATGGAAACAATAAAAATAATAAAATAAAACATAATAAAATAATTCTCACGACGTTTCGGCCACAACGCAAGCAGCCGTCATCAGGTGAAGACCAGGTCTGTCGGGGAGACAGCGTCTGAATGACCTCTTGTATACCAGGCGAGGTGGCATTGGTCAAACTTATTGATGGCATTGGTCAAGCATCCAAATTCAGCAGGACCCTCCTGAAAAACAGCGTTGACACTCAGTGAGGCTTTGCTGAGTAAAAATATGGCTTACACTATAATTATATATTTTAATCTCAATAATACTTACATTTTCCGTGTGTAATCTACATACAAATTAATGCATATATTAATTACCGTGAGGTGATATTTTAATTGTCAGCTGGGTGGCACTCGCCCCATCATCTCTCTGAGATTCTATACAATCTGTACCACTTTCAGAAAGCTCAATCGTACATTTATCCATCTGCAGTTTCCCGCCACCATTAAAGTGTTGAATTTCCACCGTTGGTTCTGGGCTGACTAATAAGGACATCAGCGCCACCCCAAGGACATTTGAGCGGGGAGACGGCCTAGCTTTGGTTACAGTCTTGTGAGGCGTGTTAAGTAACTTGTTTAAACAATTGCGAACAACACTGCCACCATGTGGCCGAGAGATTATACTACGAGGAAGGTCGGGAACATTATTTGCCAGTATAAAAAAAAATTGGATAAAAAATTAGAGGTTTTACTCTTTCTGAAAATAACATATGTACGTTGAATTTCTTTCGTACCGTACGTAACCATTCGTGCTTATCGGAGGTAAGGCTCCTCCTTCCTTGGGGTTTGATTTGTGATGAGATATGTCTCAAACGCATAACGAGGTCGTGGTGTTTCTCCACTGGTGACCTTCAGCCAGTGTTAGAAGGCCACCATTACCCACTGCCGATGTTTTAGAAAGTTGCAGTTGCTTAATTTTATGAAGCCCAAACAGACGATGAGGCTTAGTTGGCCCCTTATCAGGACTTAAACTTTCTAAACACTATCTGGCGACTCGTGTCTAAACATTATTAATTGCTGCCCTGCTCGTAATTACAATTGTTGGTCTCTCCGTGTCATGTGATGTACTGCAATTATAAAAGAAGCAACAAAATGTGGACTGAATAAAACCCCAAAACACAACAATCAGGGTATATTATAACATTTCACATTTACTGAAATTTCTATCGCTAGCTTGGGGCTATCACTTGAGCACCGCTAAATATCGATTTAAAGCTTTCGTGACTGCAGGGATTTATCTTCTTGGTTCTTTCGGTAAAGTCACGTAGAATGGAAATAATAAAATAATAAAAATAAAACATAATAAAATAATTCTCACGACGTTTATTATTTTATTATTTCCATTCTACGTGACTTTACCGAAAGAACCAAGAAGATGCACCGCTAAATAGTCATCCATACTGCGGGTGTATTGGCCGAAACGTACGGTAATTAAAATACAAACACGATTCTTCTTCTTTTCGGCCAAGAGTCTCATTCTCGAATAGAGCCGGCTACTCGGAGTCTAACCAGCGAACGAAGTCGGTCCTTGGCCGCCTGGGAAGCCCTTCCTTCCGATATTAGGAAGCCAAAGGAGCGATGCACTCTTAAATACAGAGAAAAATGTATTTATTTATTTATTTCAGAACTGCTTTTTGTGTTCGGTTTGTTGTCCTTCCCCCGCACCTCCGATAAGCACGGTTGGCTACGTATGGTACGAAAAAAGTTCAACACACGCACAGAGCGCGGTGTTCTTCATTGCAAGGCAAAGCGGTCCACTGGAGGCCCCTGGTGGCCTTTAATGCGGCCCCTGACGTGCTGCCTACGACAATGCACACAATGTCAATTATTTTATCTTGCAGGCGGTGTGACGGCCCTCACGCCAGTGAGGTGCGGTGAGGTCAATGGCTGGGAAGGCACTGGCTCGTGTCAGAGCCAGATTCACACACTGAGGGGGCGTGGCCTCACTGAGGGGGCGTGTCCTCACTGAGGGGCGTGTCCTCACTGAGGGGGCGTGTTAGACACGTCCCCCCTCAGTGAGGCAGATGTGATAGCTGCCTCCCTTGGTGCTTTTTCATTGCAGTTTCATGACGAGACCAGCGAGCCTAAATATATTTATACACATACGTGAAATAGGTTACCTGGAGTATGGAAGGCGAGGACATGAAATGAAGGGGTCTACAAACATTACATTGGTGACATACTGAGATAGTAACAGGCACGCGCTTATTGCCCGCGCTCCAGCCTGTTACTGAGGGGTTGCGCAATCAGAAGGGAGGCAGAGCTCGTCGCTGCCTCACCTCTTGTCTCTTCCTGTATTTGCAGCGGAACTCCGCAAATTTCGCGATTGTGACTATAAAGAGGATTGAAATCGTACAGAAATGACATTTATAACAAAGATCAGTGGGAAAATCTTAATATTTATTTTATTTGATTGTTCTTTTTTTCTACTTTTCGCCTCCCCTGACCGCACGTCCCTGCCTCACACTGATGTCTTATCGGCGAAAGTGGCCAACCTCTGAACATTATCGAAGAGCACTGACACAGAATGTCGTTCTCCAATACTCAGTGTCTATTCTTGCAAACCGTGTCAACCCATACGGGGATTTTGAGTGTTCAGATCCATACGGCGTACAACCGTTTCAATGCGAGCGAACAAAACATGTTCTGTCTATTTAAATTTGTGTTTCTCCCTTGTGATGGGACTTTGTAGGATGAACGTTTAGATGTATAAGGGCACGGGGTGACCGATAAGGTCTGAATTGGTCAGTAATAAGGTAGGAGCACTGATAACGGGTTGACAGGTTTGTTATTCCCTGGGCTTGTTCCCATCGAGTCCGCAGTTCGTGAGTTGAAGCACCGAACGATGGTGGCGGTGCAGTCCGCCAAAGCTACCGCTGTGGGTTTCGGGGGGTGGCCGTCTCCTCGGGACCGTGCTGTAGAGGGCATCGCTGCTGCATTACAAAAGCACCCTCCACTCTCACTCCGACGGACCACATCGAGAACCACCTGTGCTCTGTGCGCTCCTTCAAACAGGTGATGATGAGTAACAACACTACGACGAATGACCGACGTATGTATCTCTCTCACTCTCTCTCCCCTGAAGCCATCTCGTTGTGGCTAGCAGATCTCGGCATTGGCGTTTAGCCTCTCAACATATTGGCTGCTACCGTACGCTGACTGAAGTGCAAATACGCAATAAGTAAGTCGTAGGTGATATTATACCTTAAGTATTGAACGCTTATGTTCATAACGTATTGATATAAAAATACATTTCAAGCACCAATGTCACAGTCATGTCGATGTAAGTCAAGCAACACGACATTTAAAGAGAAAATTACAGTCGAGTTAACATTTCGCTTCAATAATGCAATGGGGCTTTCATCCAGATGTGGATAGAGAATGGATGGTGGCGATAGTGATGATGATGATTCGGGTTATTCAAGCAATGTGTATAAAGTATGTGAACATGTGTGTACAGTACGTAACAAAATAAGCAGACTTTATATATATCTCCTTAACAAATCTTCCCCTCCACAGAATGTGTGTTTTTTTATATGCTTCACATCAACCACAAGGCCTTCTGGGAGTGCATAATTTCAACAACATTGCTTCAATACAAGCAAAACTCTAGACCGGTTTCCAGCATTAATGTCTCGTCAGCAGTGAGGCTGGTTAGCTGCCAGATTGTCCATAGGCAAGGCCCCTGTGGTGCCACAACGACGGGGCCGCTCTGCCGAGCCAGGGAGCCGCCCGGCTTCCACCACTGCACTGCCCCCCATCACCCCCCCCCCCCCCCCCCACATAAGCACGCACCCGCACCCACGTAGGGCCTTGTGGTCGGGTCACCTACCCTGAGTTTTCACCCGAGGGCCCCCTCGGGGGGTTACCCCACGGTTTCTCAGGGCCAGGGAATTGGACAGGACCCTTCCCAGGCTGAGTAACACTGCGGCGCCGTGGGCGGATTTGAGATCGCACGACCACGGCGAGCTCAGAGAGCCCCGCAGTTAGAAACGCATACAAACACAAACACGGGTCAGCAAGGCAGATAGCTAGGATCAGGACCCGGGGCTGCTGCTTAGCAAAAAGGTCAAAGGCTGGCGGGATCGCAAAAGGGCGGGAAATCCTAGGCTCAGGATTGGTCGAGAGACCAAGGCGGTCGGGACGGGGGCGCCTAGCCTTTGATGTGGATAGTTTAAAAGAAAACGCAGGGGCAGTAGGGGACTCTCTTCTTCTGGAGTAGTGACACGGGGTCAACGACGAGGGAGTCATCGGGCGAGCTGCAGGATCGTCTGCAGGACGACCTGAGCGCCGCAAGGTCACCTAGGACTACAGACGGTATCGTATTACGCGCCTTACAACACCTCAGAGCGGAGAGTAGGATCCGTAGGAGAAGGTTAGTTCGGGGTAAGGACGAGTAGGAAAGCGGTGTAACAGAGAGCGCAGCATAGAATAGGGCTGCACGCCACTAGAGAGTGGGTTGGAAGCGCCTTGCTGGCTCGTACACACACACGGGTGGCTCGGTGAGTTAACAAGGGTTAATAAAATCTCGAGCGTAGTAACAAAACCGTGTTGTTGGGTGTTTTTGAACGTGGTATTAGCGTGCACTGCATTCGCGGGTGTGTGGTCGTTGTATGCGTAAAGGCCGTGGTCTCTGTACGATGGTGCGGGTACGGAGGTGTGTGTGCTAACGCCCGGGGAGAGCACTTTTGTGTGTTGGCGTGCCTACGCAGCCGTGTGAGAGGAGAATCGTCCTTGCACGATACTTGTGTTGACGTGCACGCGCGAGTGCGGGAGGGGACGAGTCGTCGTGTCGGCGTGCACCCCGCTCGCGTGTGTGAAACCACGGTGCGCAGTGAAGCTGTTAGCTTTGTGCGAGCTTGCGTGTGCTCGAGCGCGTAATCGGCTGCGCATTGTTGTACGGTTTATCTCGCGCGCACGGCGGCGGCAACTTGAGTCGTTGTGTCGGCGTGTGCCCCGCTTGCGTGTGCTCGTTACGTGCGTAAAGTGCGGCGCAAGAGTGAGTGCCGTGCAGAGCTGTGTGTGGGAGTGCGCATACGTTCGTTACGTGTCGGATACGGATGCGCATTGGTAACGTGCCGCACAGGGCTATACTGCGAGCACGGCGTTTGATTGATGATGATGTGCGCACGTATGTTCGCAGCGTGGGAGCGCGGCGCGAGGCTGTAAATAGTAGGGGTGTCGCGTTCGAATGCCGGCGAAACCGTAGCGGGTAATAGGGAGGTGGGGTAACGTAAACGAATAGGGGATGCAGGCGGGAGGGACCCCGGGGGCCAACGGCCCCCACACCCCTCCATCTGTATGATATGGGTCCTGATTTCCTCTAACTGACATTCAACGAATTGTGTGGAGGCGTATTGTCTGCTTATTTATTTAATAAATTTTCATTTTCTCCACGACGACTTTAACGGTGAAGCTCTGCCGTGCAGCGTACAGCAAACACGCATTAGTGGTCCACGTGAAATCCTTGCGGTGTGTTTTTTTTAGGGCACGGTTAACGTTCAACTCAGGAAAGATTCCCATTCTTCAGCGTAGCCTTCACACGACTTTGACGAAAGAATGCGGCGTTTGAAACGAATCACAATCGTAAGCCATGCATTCGGGATTAATCTAAAAACGTACGACAGTACTCTGCTCACTTGAAGTGAATAATGTCATCGTGGATGTTGTGCATTTTGCCGTTGTATCGAAGGTGGCACTTGAAAAAGAAAGTTAACGTTCATAGATGGTACAACAGAAGTAACGCACTGTACTCTATGTGTGCTGACAGAGCGCCATAGTTGATACAGAGAACTCTCGCCCATGGCATGGTAAACCAGCAGTTGCTGCTTTGCCAACCTGACTGCTGATGAGAACCAGAAGGTCGAAACCGATGCAACGTTTAACAAGCGTGTACATCTGAAGGCCAATAGGATGATAGACTATATATCTATATTATTTTCATAAGAAGATCTGGCTTCATCTTCTTGGTTCTTTCGGTAAAGTCACGTAGAAGGGAAATAATGAAATATTAAAAATTAAACATAATACAATAAAATTCTCTCTCTAGGGATAATTTTATTATCTAGTGATAATTTTATTTATTATGGTTATTTTTATTATTTTATAATTTTCCTTCTACGTGACTTTACCGAAAGAACCAAGAAGATTAATCCCTGCAGTCACGAAAGCTTTAACTCGAAATATTTGGCTTATTGTGACTAATGTTTGGCAATTAAACAGCACATTTATATAAACGAGTTCACATTTTACCATAACCACCATCACCACCAGTATCACCGTAGCGTTAACCATCATAACATCCACTGATAGCAAAAGCACTATTGCAATATACAACTCCTTTACAACCACCATTACCACAACCACGTCTATCACAACTACAATCATCGTCATCACTACCACCATTATAGCCTCCACCCCCATCACCGCCCCCATTAACCACAAATAATAACCACCGCTATCACAACCGGCGCCATCACCACCAACAACTGCCCCCACCACGTTCAGCACCCACAACACCGCCAGCTGCCACAGAGGGGGTGGAACACTGGGGGCACCCAGTTAGGGGCCATCCATTGAGTAGGTAAGCAAAATCTATCAAAACTTGACCCCTCCCACCCCTCCCTGTATGCACACGTACTTTTCACCCCCGCCCCCCGAATCCTATAGAACGACCGATATTTAATCCACGCAGAAACGATCAAGGATTAATCATATTCATGTGTTTAAGCAAACAGATAGTCCACAGCCGGACTATCTAACTAATTTGAAGGCCAATGGACACAAATTATTATCGAGGCTTCACCACCCCCCACCCCCGTTTCCTATGCGTACATTGTCAGTAGACCCCCCCATACGCAAGCGTACGCTCCGCAAATCAGGTTGTCGCCTGATGAAGCTAGTTGTAATTACTGGCGAAACGTCGTACTCAATTTGTAAATGTTGTGGCTTGGCTTTCCAACACACCGGTGTGCTGTACTAGTGACGAATTGGCACGTTATGTTTACGTGACAACCCTTACTAGTTGGCTGTGTCGGGTGGTGGCGGGTTTAATGACGCATTTATATATTCACGCGATCTAGCACAAAAACCTCCATTATGGATGATATTGGTCGCGAAAGCCTACGTGTTAAACCGTATGCATTTGGGTTAACCCCCCTCCGCCCTCCATGCGTACGTACTAAATGGATATCCCCTTTTGCCCTATGAGGCCCATACAGCAACTCCCCCCCCCCCCACCGTATATAATTAATAGCTGCACAGGCACAGCGTGTTACATTTGAGCGTCGCTACGACACTGAAAAGCGTCGCGATGCCGCGCAGAAGGCGCGTCGAGCAACTGCTTGGACGGCCGCCGTTGGATACACATCGCTCCAGCCAGAAGTCCTCGCGTTGTGCTCGCCTCTTTCGCAGCGAGATCCGCCGCTGACGATTCGTGAGCGAGTTGATCTCCCCCCCCCCGACCCACCAAGTGCTCCCTTGTGTGCACTTTCTCCTTTGCGAAGTTCAATGCGCGATCAATCTCGCCGCAGTTGCAGGAAGGAACCTGCGATCACGACAATCGGAACAATAACTCAAAATAATAAATAGGCCGTGAGTGTTTTCACGTAGCACGACCGTGGCAAGATTGGAAGAGTTACGTCTGAATTAATATTACATTCGCAGACATTTCCGAATATCCGTGAATGTCGGATGGCCCACCCTCCAGCCGAAAAACAAAATAAGCATTGCTATAAGATACGTCTAAAAATACTTTGTAAGTAAAATGCCATATTTTACAAAATAAGATATCAATTTTATAGAATCGATGGCCTTATGGAACTGCCTCCCAGAACACATTGTCGGCGAAATCAACAAATTCTGGTCTTCAGGCCTTCAAATGCCGAGCACACACACACATGGTACATCTCCAAACATTACCACACGCCTTGTAAGACTCAGTCTTTGAGCTGCAGTGAACCAATGATGATGCCGATATTGATGTACACATGCCTGGTAATGGCTGTTGTTCACAATTGCACCCAATGGAAAAACACAACTCCTTTCATCTGTAATGATGTGGAGGGACCACATCACAGAGGAACACAATCACAGAGAAGGGGGAGTTTAAATCCTCACATCTACAATGAAAAACTCCTCTTATTAACGACTCATCATAATGCCATATCACAGTATTTTTGTGATTCTGGCAAAATAGCCCAATGATGCTTGATGTAGGAAGCAGCGAAACGTCGTACTCAAATTGTAAATGTTGTGGATTTACTCTCCGACACACGGGTGGCTGAAGTAGTAACTAAATCGCACATTGTGTTTACGTGACAAGTTTAACGTTTTCAAGCTCTTGAATCGGGTGCAACCGCAACAAACAAAAAAAAACATGAACAAGAAAACATCTTAAAGTGACTAAGTGCAAACAGAAAATCCAAGAAAAGACAGCAAAATATTGCAGAAAAAGCACCGTACACCAACACTGTGTGCAAAACTTACTGGTCGGCTGTGTCGGATGGTGGTGGGTTAACGACACATTTATATTTACGCGATCTAACCCAAAAACCTTTATTATGAGTAATATTGGTCGCGAAAGCCTACGTGTTAAACTGCCAGATTTGTTTCTATTTTCTTTTTAACTTCGTGTGAGACATTCGATTTCCATTGGATTAGTCATGCCGGTATTTGCGTCAAGTCTGCAGCATCTGACGAATCGGCTTAGGCCTTGTGTCACCGCTCAGAAGGAAAGTGGCAGTTGGCAACTCTGTTAAAGTTAGTTATTTGTTATTTTCACGAACAAGATATTGGCACAATCAAAAGTACGGAATGATTTAGACGATAATTTGCAGCCCCATTTTGTCCATCGACTGCTAACTCATGCCTACCCACATCGTGTTATTCATTGGGGTTGTATGACCATACTTCACCACACTGGTCAGTGTGGGTTTGTTAAGGGTTGACACAGGACTGATTCAGATGGCCCTCGTCGGTGAGGGTAGCCAAGTCAGGCTTGTCGGGTTTATAGTGCACCGTGCCACCATTCTACTGCCGTTTTACACGCCCTTCCGAAAACTTTATCCTACCTGCGAACAGTAAAATAATGTATTAATCCTCATAGTTTTTCAAACAGATGTATTTAGGATCCAGCGAATGACTTTCAAGTAATTGTAAGTGACACTTGACAGATTGCATACGATTACGGAGAGTTGTGATCGGGACACTTATCTAAAAGTAATACATTAGTCCCAGTACACGACGCAATAGTTTACATTGCTGTGAAAAACGGCGCATTAACGGGCAACGTTCTCCCATCAAAGCGGCACAATTTT